ATTGTACTACCTCAAAAACTATTGTTATATTTTTTATATATCATAGTTTTTGTAACAACCAGGTGATTTCAAAAATTGTATTTTTGGAATAACGTTATACAAAACAAAATTTTCTTAAATTTGTATTTGTGTATATCTTTATCTTTTATTATAATTTTTATATCTTTCTTTATTTATAATTACTTCTTATTAATTAAATTTTGCCAATTTTAATATTTCTTTTTAATAATTATAGTTTTTTTTTTAGCTATAGACTATCAATCTATTCTTTTAAATAAAATTATAGGAGATTTAAATCATATTTTCATTGAGCAAATTTTCCAGTTTTAGTTCCAATGTTAATTGAAGAAACTTGGGAAAATTGCTATATTAAAACTTACAAAAAATACAAAGAAGCCAAAGCACAAAAGGACCGAATTAAAATACTTGCTTACTCCTATCACCTTGGATCTCTGGTTTTAGCTTGTCCTAATATACTACTGTTAAAATTAATAGAAAAGGCCGAAAATCTTGGATAAGGACTTACTATCTATTCAAAACAGTAGGATATCATGAACTTTATAAAACACAAAAACTAAAACTTAAACATATATACTATCTGACTGAAGAAAAATTTAGACAATTATTGAGACATTTTTTTTAATATTATTTATTAATAATTTTTAACTATTATTACTATTATTTTTTTTTGATTATTTTATTATTATACTATATACTTTTTTTTATTACTATTATTATAATTATAATTTTCTAAGATGAAATTCATTAACAACAAAAGCTACTATTTTCGAAAACAAAGACAACAAAGAAGAATTTTTAAACAAAAACAACAACAACAACAGCAACAACAACTATTACTACACCAAAAATCACCTTATCAGCTTTATTTTGATTCCAATTCAATATGAATTGAGGCTGAAATATTTTGAGTTTGAGTTTTATTTAAATTTTAATTTGAGTTTTATTTAAGTTTTAAATTTTATTTTGAGTTTAATTTTAAGTTTTATTTTAGATTTTAATTTGAGTTTTATTTTAAGTTTTATTTTAAGAGTTTTATTTTAAATTTTATTTTGAAGTTTATTTTTTTTTTTTTGAGAATTTTATTTTGAGTTTTATTTTATTTTTTTTGTTTTGAGTTTCATTTTGAGTTTTATTTTAAGAGTTTTATTTGAAGCTTTACTTTGAGTTTTATTTTATTTTTTTTGTTTTGAGTTTCATTTTGAGTTTTATTTTAAGAGTTTTATTTGAAGCTTTACTTTGAGTTTTATTTTTATTTTGAGTTTATTTTAAATTTTATTTTTATTTTAAGAGTTTTATTTTGAGTTTTACTTTGAGTTTTATTTTAAATTTTATTTTGAGTTTTATTTTTAAGTTTAATTTTATTTGAGAGTTTTATTTTGAGTTTTACTATGACTTTTATTTTAGTTTTACTTTGAATTTTATTTTAAGTTTTATCTGAGTTTTATTTTGAGTTTTATTTTAAATTTTATTTTAAGTTAAATTTTAGTTTTATTTTGAGAGTTTTATTTTAAATTTATTTCGAGTTTTAATTTTTTGAGTTTTATTTTAAAATTTTATTTTATTTTTTTTTATCCAATTCTACTATGTTAAGAATTGAGGCAGAAATGCTTTAAATTTTTTTTTTTTTAATTTTTTTTTTTATATATCCAATTTTACTATATTAAGAATTGAGGCCGAAATGCTTTAAGTTTTTTTTCTTTTATTTTTTTATATCCAATTCTATTATGTTAAGAATTGAGGCCGAAATGCTTTAAGTTTTTTTTCTTTTATTTTTTTTTTTATCCAATTCTACTATGAGACAGAAATGCTTTAAATTTTCCTTTTTTTATATTTTTTTTTTATATATCCAATTCTACTATATTAAGAATTGAGGCCGAAATGCTTTAAGTTTTTTTTTTTATTTTTTTATATCCAATTCTACTGTATTAAGAATTGAGGCCGAAATGCTTTAAGTTTTTTTTCTTTTATTTTTTTTTTTATCCAATTCTACTATGTTAAGAATTGAGGCAGAAATGCTTTAAATTTTTTTTTTTTTATATTTTTTTTTATATATATCCAATTCTACTATATTAAGAATTTGAGGCCGAAATGCTTTAAGTTTTTTTTCTTTTATTTTTTTATATTCAATTCTACTGTGTTAAGAATTGAGGCCGAAATGCTTTAAGTTTTTTTTCTTCTATTTTTTTTTTATCCAATTCTACTGTGTTAATAATTGAGGCCGAAATGCTTTAAATTTTTTTTTTTATTTTTTTTTATCCAATTCTATTAAGAATTAAGGCAGAAATGCTTTAAGGTTTTCTTTTATTTTTTATTTTTTATTTTTATTTTTATTTTTTTTTTTATCCAATTCTATTAAGAATTGAGGCTAGAATGCTTAAAGTTTTTATATATTTTTTATCCAATTCTATCAAGAGTTGAGGCAAAAATGCTTTAAAGTTTTTTTTAATTTCTTATTTTTTTTATTTGATTATTTTTATCTTTATTTTTTTTATTATTATTATTTTTACTTCAATTATATATTAATATTTTTATTTTACTTCTTGATAATTCTTTATTTAAATTTTAACGTTCTAAAAAAAAAAAAAAAAAATTTTGAAAACAACAAAAAAAAAAAAAAAAAAAAAAAATTTTTTTTATAACTTTTATTTATTTATTACTTTAATTTTTTTACTTTATTATTTAAAAGATTTTATTCAATAATTTTATTAAATTTAAAAGTTTAAAAATTTATTAAAAATAGTAAATAAAATTGAGGAAATAATGAAAGAAAGTGCAAACACCTCCTTCTGATTAAAACCCCGACTATTTTCTAACTCCTCAATTCTACTTCGCAATCTCTAATTTTCTATTCGCAATACATAATTATCAGATGCTATATTCGAGGCATGGACCAACAACCCATTTCGTTCTTGTCACAATATCCCAACCCGAATATTGAAGTTATGCTCTCGTTGAGCAAGCTCATCTGGATCAAATTCTTGTAGTTGGGCTTGCAAATTAGCTACTTGGTTGGTTAGGTGCTGGATAGTAGCTGAAACAAATTGGGTGCAAGAGGTGTGAGTCATCTAAATAAACCGACAACAAAGGCTATTAAAAAAAAGAATATTTTTTCCAAGATAGATATACTAGAAATTATTCAAGGCCATGTGTTCAATCATAGCAAGTATGAAGGTACCAGCTTACTCGAATATGAAAAACTGGTGGGTGTCTTAAAAGTATAAACTAATAAGGTTAGCTCACAGTACAAAAGTATACAAACCTTCAACAAAAGAAAAACAACAAAAGACCAAACGAAAAAGTTGTTGAGGAAGAAAACTATAGAAAAGAGAAAAAGAGTTTTAGATAAAAAGAGTTTTAACAAAACAAAAGAAAATAATAGAGGGATTATTACAAGAAAAAACTTTGTGTGTTTGGAGTTTGGAAATCAAAATCTATAAGAAAAACAAGGATATAAATAGAATTAGGTTATGAATAATTTTTTTTCCATGAGGGAATTATCATCTGCAGGGTACAAAAAAAAAAAAAAATTACAAACAATGCGAGTGTGATTACTAAATTGGAAAATAGATGAGCAAAGCAAAAACTAAAAGCTAATTTTAGTACAAAGTTAATAATATTGTCTGGAAATGTTGTATTTTAAGGGAGAGAAAAGCAAAGAACTTTGAAAAAAAAAAACACATGGTTGTTAGAAAAATTTTTCTAACAAGTGTTGCCAAGCATCACTAAGTAATACAAAATAGAATTTTTATACGTGGGTGTTCTAGAAAATAAACCATGTAGTAGATAAAAAGAAACATACATAAAAAAAGTAGTAGTAAAACTAATAATATATACCCAGATGCAGAAAATTTTTTATATTTTGGTAATATAGTACATAGTTCTACAAGATTATGTGTTCAAATCTTACTAGAAAAATCATACTTGGGTATACTAAAATAATAGTAGCAATCACAACATATTATATTTTTATTATATTTATTTATTTATTTTATTTATTTTTTTATTTTTTTTATTATTATTTAGCTAAATCGCTAAAAAACCGTTATAGTTTTATTATAAGAAATATAGAAAATTTTATATACAGATGAAGAAACGAGAGAGTAATATTACAAAGAAAAAAAACCATGTAATTGCAATCTTCTATATTTAACAAACTTGAATGAAGCTGATTTTCTGCTTGAAATACGCCGTTTAAGCCTTTTTTTTTGAAAATTTTGCTTTAGAAACAAGTGAAAAATCATATAAAAGATGAGCCTGGTTCCATCTTGAAGCATGTTAATATTATTTTCAAAAAGTAGTAGAAGATGCAAAGCTAAACAGACTGCTGCTTTTCTTTTAGGCAAAGAATAGACCTTGATTTCTTGAGAAGAGTTTTGGAATAATATATGCCAACGATAAGAGGCTTGATAAATCTTGACCTTATTGCTCTTAAAAAGGAGAGGCTAGATTGCTTGTTTTCTTAACATGGAACTTTTATAGAGCATAGTTGATAATTTTTTTTTTTTTGGTTTATTCGGTATGAAAAATCAGTTGAAAAATTGTTGATGAATTATACTGAGCTGTTCTTTTTATTTTGAAATTATATATATATGTTATTTTAATTTTTAGTTTTATTTTATTTTTTTTGTTTTTGTTTGTGTTTATTTATTATTTGTTTACTTATTATTTGTAATAATATTTACTAACTTCATGAATTTTGCAGAGCAAAATTTTTCGAAAGAGGGAGTAGTGTTATATTAGCAAATTTTTTACTTTTTATTATTATTATTATTTTTTTTATTTTATTATATTTTATTTTATGTGATATTAGGGTTATTAGGACGTGTTGGTATTATTAAATATGTTAAGGATTTTATCTCTAGCAGATCCAGAAGACCCTGACGATCAAAACAAGCTACAGTACATCATGGTTGGCTAGATAGATAGCCAGATAATCGATAAACAGGGTACTGGAAGATCTAATACTATTTTCATTTTGTTATACAGTTTTTATTCTGTTATTATTTTTGTTTATTATTTTGTCATACAGTTTTTATTTTGTTATTATTTTTGTACTTTATTTTGTCATACTGGAAGATCTGATTAACA